AATGATGTTCATCCTGAAATTTTATCTATGCTTACCTCATACGAAAATTTATATTAATATATATGTGTCCACCCTAAAATTACTTCGAATCCGTCACTAATGACAAACCAGTAAAATTTTAACAGAGTTAATTTTTTTATTAATTTGTGTGGCTGTTTTTAAGTTCAAGTATTAATTAAGTACCTAACACAAAAAAATGAAATAAACTAAAAAAAATAAAAATTCAACTATGTACCTAAAATCAAGTTAGAAGATGAAAAATATGTTAATATTTATAAATTTACAATATGTTATTTTTAATTACTCTATAATAATTATTTTATAAACAAGTTATTACAGATAAAAAAACAAGTTACTACACAATGGTAGTATTATTTACTATTATATATTTCTTAATCTTTGAAGGAATTTACAATGAATAGACATATAAAATAACATGCAATAAAAAACTAGTATTACTTAAATGGTTTGGCGATTATAATTATTGCAATATTAATCACTATCAAATAGTTATATTAGACATTTAAAATAATAAACATGGTCCATAGAGTTCGGTAAAATATATAAATAAATTTACATTTATAAATAATATATTTATAAATTTATAAATGTAAATTTCATGGAACATTTTCCATAAAGCATATAATTTTCAGATATCATGGCATATTTTATCTATATATACATTAACCCCATGCATTACACAAGTTAAAAAAAGTAGTATAAATATAAAACAATTTTTTAAAATTACATATAATCCCTTCACTAAATGTAAAATAATTTAAAAAGCATGAAAAATTGAAAATGGGAAAAAAGTTATCAAGTCGTACAACTCCAAGCATTTACCATCCGATCAACTTGTACGACAAATGATCCGACGGTTTTAAATATCCCATGTTTCTGTTATGCATTGGTCAGATATCACATCAAATTTCCAAACGCTATGATTATTGGTCCACTTTGCGCAATATCCACGGCTAATAAGTATCATAATAAAACCGAAATTACAATTATATCCAACAAAATCTGGGAAGCTCCTTAAATATCGATCCATGTCGAGGCCGAAGTAGACACTTGTCGCCTCCATACACATAAAGCCTCCGCGTTTCGCTTCAGCATTCTCTCTCGATTTTCAGCAATTTCTATTTTTAATTTTTGGTTTTTTTAATCAAAAATTAAATACTAGCAAAAGTTATATTTTTTACAGGTAAAAACAGAGGAAGCGTCTCTTTCTTTGCTTCTTATTTACTCTCTTCTTGCTCCCTTATGTCTACTGTTTCATTTTATTATTATTTTTTATCATTTTCTTATTTTTAATTTCTCTTATTTATTGATATGTTTTAGAAAAATGGATTAAGGAATATGTTTTTGCACTTGTAGTTCGTTTAGTTAATTATATGGCTGTTCTATGATGGAATTATTTTTTTTTCAGTTGATTTTTTTCTTGATGTTTGCATGGTGTTGATAGGTTTTATGATTTGGAATAATGGGTTGGTTTTGGATTTTGTTGAAGCTTCAATTGTTTTGTTGTTTACTGGTAGTCTTAATAATGGCAGTTTGATGCTCGTTAGCTGTTAATTAATTTCAAGATGCAATTTCTTTTACTCTTTAGTTTTTGGATCTGGGTTTTGGATAATGAAATAAAATTACAGAGTGTTTGGATCTGTTTACTGTAGAGTGAAATAAAATTACGAGAATAGTTTAAGCTTATTCCTTATTATCGGCATAAATTTGATGGATTTGCAGCATAGTTTATTTGGTTGTGTATAATTGTATGTTTTATACTAGTTATTGGAGAATCTTTAAATTTCGAGATTTGACATGAACGCTTTTAGCTTTATTGATTAGAGCGTATGATTAGCTTACACTTTTCTTGGTTTGAAGAAAAAGCTATATGAAAGGGGAAGTGAATGATATGAACATCTCATCTACCTTGGATTTATAGGGGCATTTGAATAGAGTTCATTTGAGTTTGCTGCTGTTCAATACAAGAAATGGGATCTAATCTGAATTTCAAGAACTTTGGTGAAGCTTCAAGTATGGAAGGGAATGGATCAAAGGCAATGGACAGTTTCCCATTGGCGAGGCAGTCATCAATATACTCCTTGACCTTTGATGAGCTGCAGAACACATTCGGTGGACTCGGCAAGGATTTTGGATCGATGAACATGGATGAACTCTTGAGAAACATATCTACTGCTGGAGAGACTCAGGCTGTGATGACAGCTTCAGTTACAGGGGGAGAAGATGGTGTTTCTGGTGGTAATTTGCAGAGGCAAGGTTCATTGACATTACCGAGGACGTTGAGTCAGAAAACAGTTGAAGAAGTATGGAAAGACTTATTTAAGGAAAATGATGGTGCTAAAAATGTAAGTAATGTCGGTGGCCCTGTTGTTGGTGGAGCGAATTTGCCGCAGAGGCAACCGACATTGGGAGAGATAACTTTGGAGGAGTTCTTGGCGAGGGCAGGTGTAGTAAGAGAAGATATCCAACAGATTGGAATGCCAAATAACACTGGATTCTTTGATAACAACTCTGGTTTAGTACTTGGATTTCAACAGACTAATGGAAACAATGGCTTTTTGAGTAACAATAACTCAGTTCTTAATCAGCCTCCAAGGCTACCATTAGACATTAGTGGAGCCAAATCATCACAACCGCAGCAGCAGCAGCAGCCGAAACAACAACAGCCGATCTTTCCCAAGCAACAAACAGTTGCATTTGGTCCCTCTATGCACATGATAAACAATACACAGTTTGCTAGTCTTGGAGCTCGAGGTTCGGTAGCAATGAATACTAATCTAGTTCAATCTACTGGGCTGCAGAGTGGTGGGATGGGAATAGTTGGTCTAGCCTCACCTGCAAACCATATATCTTCAGATGTGATTTCAAACAACAGCATAGATACCTCTTCTTTATCACCTGTTCCTTATGTTTTTGGCCGGGGAAGAAAACGCAGTGCAGCTTTGGAGAAAGTAGTTGAGAGAAGGCAAAGGAGAATGATTAAGAATAGAGAGTCGGCCGCTAGATCACGAGCTCGAAAGCAGGTTAGTTGGGTGATTGAGCCACTACACTGTTTTCTATCCTGCTCAGCTATCAGATTGTGTTTTATTTCACCTTTAGATCTCTATCTCATTTATGTAGATTACCTGTTTAAACAGTTCTTTAATTGTAAGATTTGTTACTTGCTTAAAACATGCTACTTATATAATGTTTAGTCCGGTGCCCTTGCATTGGTTGTGTGAAAATAGTGGATTGTTATGGTTTCTGGTTGGCACATCAAATGCACTGCCAGTAAAGAGCTACTGCATTTTATATGAGATGGTTGCTGCAACTGTTTGTGTCAATATGTAGAAAAAGGTCTAGTCCAATACTCCAATGTATTATTTTTGTTAACGGTATTCTGTTTGTTTCACTATGAAATGTTGTAGCCTGAGTTCATTTCTACTTGATATTCCTGTAGAGACTACACTATGTGATGGTGAGGTGTGTAATAAAATCTAACCAAACCCTTTTCACTCATTACTGACAAAATAAGTGATTATGTATAAAAATGCGTGGTTAAGATCATGTCTGTAACTTCAAAAGTTAAATTACACACTGAGCTCTAAGTCCTTTCACTCCGAGTATAAAAACAACTGTTTGTATTAACTGTTCTGAGCTACTGGCAGGCTTATACGTTGGAACTTGAAGCTGAAGTTGCAAACCTTAAAGAAATGAACCAAGAATTGCGGAGGAAACAGGTATGTATCCGGACTAATTTTCTTTTATATTTTATAAGGCTGGGTGAATTGCCCTCCTTGACTGAGCTTTGGTTGGTGCAGGAAGAAGCTATGAAAATGCAGAAAAATCAGGTAATGCACATTTCCACCGCTTCCACATTGCATTTATATCATACATTCCTATAATCCTGTGCAGCAAACTAGCTTTTAGATGGGTTCCAGAGCCTAACAAATTTTACTAACAGATGTTTTGTTATGGATTTTCATTGAAATTGTTTCCTGTTTTAAGATGTTCCATTCATGCACTGCATTTCACATGGTGAAGAATCCCACACTGTGTATTTTATCATTATTAGATTAAAAAGATAATTAAATGGACATGGTGAAGAATCCCACAGTGTTTTTAGACGTTTTCTTCCTTAATGGATATGGAAACTAGATTATTTCAGGCCAGGGTGATTAGATGAAAATGATAATTAAAACCAACGAATGTGATTAACCTGAAACAAAGTACATTTATTCCCCGAGCCATTACTGGATTAAAGAGCCAGAGATGAGTTGTAAACTCACTGTTAAAAATTTCACCAAGGCCAGCGGGGAGGTTTACCTTTCTGTTTGCTAGCCTCGTTATTAGACGATCATGCTGATTTTAGTCCGCCCTCTGTTGTCTTGTTTGTTTGAACAGATGCTAGAAAAACTGAACCAGTCATGGGGAGGTAAAAGACAATTCTTGAGAAGAACACTGACAGGCCCTTGGTAGAGTTGAGGAACTGCTGATGGTAGAATTGTTGCTTTGATACACAACCTTGGCCGGTTCTATGGTCTAACACTTGCAGCATTTGTCTATTTTCTATATCTTGATAATACTGAATAGGAGCTAGATAGGTGTAAATATAGGAACGAAGGGTTTTGAGTTGCGAGTTATGAAATTGTATTAGTTTCACTTGGTGGATTTGATCTCTGTTTGCCTATCATGACTTAACAAAAAAGGCAGGCTTGTAGGGTAGCTGGATGCTTCTATATTTTTATATGCAACCCCCTAAGGCTTGTAAATTTAAGTTATATCTGTGTTTGCATGTTGTAAGAAATAAGCTATTGACTTTGATTTTTCGTTTCCTGCTTGTAGAACAGCATTAAGAATAAATAACAGTTTAGCTTTCATGAATCTGAATTTAATCTAGTTGATTCATTGCAATCATAGATTTGAAATCTACAACTATAGACCTTTCAAACAGATGGAAATAATTCCAAGTCTCATCCATCGAAGTCATTTATCCCACCAATATGGATATCTAATCCACTTTCTAATTTGATCCTGTTGGGGCCTTATTTTTCCTTGTAATTTGATGGTTTTCCTCTCCCACTAGATGTTCCAGTCAGGGATTACATAAAAATTTATGGCATCTGGAAAAATTGCCATATCTAAGTTAGATCTTTAAACTCCTGGGGTACTCAAAAACAAGACCTTCTGCAACACTTCTAGCCCTTGCATGGCCAAAAAACTTGCTCACGATAGCCAGTGCGAAATCCGAAACAGTAGCAAATCCCCTGCTTGTAATCAGTTTACCATCGATAACTACTTTGGGACCATCTACGGCATTGGCGAGTTCCGTAATGGCATGGGGATGAGCAGTGAGTTTTTTATCCTGCATTTATCCAAGGTTATCAGTGTTGCTGAAAGTATAAATGCCAAATAATTTCTTCCAAGTCTTGAGACTCTACCTTCAGCAGTCCATGCTTATGCAGGACTGTGGGAGAAGAGCAAACTGCTCCGTATATTCTTCCAGCCGCATCTTGTTCTTTCAGCAACTTCTTGAGAACCCTAGATTTCCGTAGCCGTTCAGTACCAGCAACTCCTCCCTGCAAGCATGATTAAATGATAACATGGTGTAGAGATGCACATAGCCGGATTTAAATCCGATCCGGATCGGATAAAAACCGATCCGGTTTTTTCACTAAGCTAAAAAACCGGTTTATAAAAAAACCGGTTCGTAACAGAATGCATCTAAAATTATTTGTATTGGAAGAGCTTTGTTTTGTCTTACTGGAAGTATGATTAAATCATATATTGACTCTGCGGCATCACCAATTAGCTTGTCAGCTATGATTTTGACACCCTGAGATGCCAAAACCTTAACTGATTTTTCAACTGAAGCAACCACAACATCCACCTTTGCACGACGTAGAATGTCTGCAATGGTAACTACTTCAGTGTCCTCTGAGCCATTTGCAACAGGAACCAGCACCTGCCGAAAACATTTCAACAATAGAAAGCATGTGGAGGAAGACAAAAATGGTTAAGGCAAGAGATTCTGTAATGAACTTGTAATAAAAACACACAAGAAATTGTCGCAAGCAAAACCAGAGTGAGATTCTGTAATGAACTTGTAATAAAAACACACAAGAAATTGTCGCAAGCAAAACCAGAGTATTGACATAGAAAGTATACAACTAAAGCAAGTAACAACTCACGTGTGGAGTATGACTAACAGCCCAGTCAACTTTGTTGAACTCTTCCGTTCTCGGTTTATCATCGTCAGAATGCATGAACTGGAAAACAGTAATCATATAGATTAAATGCATGCTTGCAAAGTTGCAGTCAATAACTCATTACTGACAATTTTTTGTGATGGCCTATCGTGGTGGATCCGTGGATACATGGACCGAACAAGAAACCACGGACAACCATAAAGAGGCTTTCGAAAACAACAGAACAGACTGATTTACCAATAATTCTCCAATCTCCTTGGCCACAGACTCCCCGAAAAGCTGCTCTACTAAGGCCAGAGCGAACATAAAAGAAGTTCCTGGGCCCTGGCTTGTAGTAAGCTCTCCTGAAACTTGAAGATTTGATTTGACAGCATAGAAGGTTGGAAGCCGGTCAAAGAATGCAGGGTGGCAAGTTGCCTTGCATGGAAAACTACGACAAATTTAGTAACCAAAATACATAAAAAGGAAACAACAATTCTAATATAAATCAGTACTCACCCGCTTCCTCCTCAAGAGTCCCCAAGGGAGAAGTGCGACTGCCGGAGCAGTAGATATACCTCCATAGAGCCTCTTATTCTCGGCTTGCTTGCTTGTGATTTTCTTGAGAATTTCACAATCTCTTAATCGTGCTGATCCAGGCATTCCTCCCTTCAAACAGTATGAAAACTTTAATTGCTACATGAACTATATATAGTACAAACAATTTACCAAATCAATATAATGTAGCCTTATATGTCCTGCGGGTTGTTTTCTATGGGAGAGTCTCGAATTCCAAAACATAAATGCAGGAATATGCAGTCATGGTGTGATATTATATCTTAAACTAATATGAAAACCAAAGGTTTGAAGAACTAACCGGCAATGCCACCAGATCAAAAATTCGATCAGAACAAGTGGAGATTGCGGTATCAGCGACCAATCTGGTGCCTCCCGATGATTGAATCTCAAGCTGCGGTTCCACTGAGGCCACAGTCACCTCTGCCCCAGCACGACGCAGAACATCAACCAATATAACAGCTTCCATTTCCTCAGTACCAAATCCAATTGGAACCAAAACCTAACCATCCACATAAACAACAATCAAAATTTTAAACTCTTACATCAAAACTATAAAAACAAGTTAAACCCCATTAAACTAAGTGATCAACAACGTAAGCAAACTAGTCTTTCCCACTCTATGAATCACTAGTGAAACTGTGAAAAGGGCCTTCCATATTTTGAGATACGAATCAATTGCGAACACAAAATGAAGCACTTGAATAAAAGAAAGGGTGGGTTTTAATAAAGGAGACACCTTTTTGGTACAGGCGGTGTCTGTGCTTGCAACAGTGGTCGTTGTTGATGGGGTCGTCCAAACTGTTGAAGCCGACGCTTTGGTGGATTTTAAAGCCAGTGTAGCAGTAGTTCTTAGAAACTGATAGTCCTCGGAAGAAAGAAACGCAGCGGAGCGAGAAGCTGCCATTTGAGGAATCCTAGGGGAAAATAACCTCGTCGAAGCTGCTGGTCGGAAAACCAGACACGACAAACTCTCCATGTATCGCAAGTCCTTGGAGTGAGTAAACCGAATTACTTCTCCAGCAGCTTGCGAAGCTTGAAAATTATCTTATCCAAAACGCAACGGCTTCGTTTTATACTAAGCCAATTGTCAATTTAAATCCCGACATTATTTATATAACATTTTGAATATATATTTATTAAGTGGTTGAAAATAATATTTATATGTACACTAATTTCGTTTTAAATAAAATTTTATACAATTCTTTAAAATATGTACAATTAGTAATTGTCTTCCTAATTTCTTCCCATAAACTTCTGCTTGTTAATTTGCTGATAAAAGAGGGTGATGGCCAATCTACACATCAGCAGCCTTAGTTCCTTGAGAATCCTCTGATCAAATGCATACTCATATGGAATTGACGGGAAAGGTAATAAGAAATTGGTCAACTTTAGAAACTGGAAAGTCGGCCCAAGCGCAACTCCTTTGGTTTTGGCGATTAAAGATAGGGTTAAGGGGAACATGAGCAGGATAGAGTAAAAATTAAATATTAACAACGGTCGAAATATTACATTATTTAAAATAATATAAAGATTTATTTAGTATTTAAATTCAAAATTTAATATGAACCAAATGATTTAAGTGATTAAGGGATTATTGTTATCATTGAGGTCTTGAGTTCAAGCACGTATGTAGGGGTATGAGCATTTATTGTAAAATAGTTGAAAGTTTTTGTACATATATTAACTTATTCATCCTAAATTAAAAAAAAAAAACTCAAAACAAAACTCTTAATTTATCTAATATTTAAACTTACAATGACTTAAATTGTAATTAGAGAAAAAATTTGAGAACATAGACTTATCATTCTTTAGTTCAACCGCTATTTGATTAAATATTTAATAAATTTTTATATTTTTTAAATTCAAATATTTATTTTTATATGAAATAAAATACTATTAAATCAAAATTATATTGAATATATAAATTTTAACAGGGCTCCCCGGCCCTATGGGAGCTCCATCCCTGAATTCATGAGGAAACTATGGATGCTGCTGCAGGTGCTGGCTCTTCCGATGAGGAAAGAGTGGTAGTTGAAGAACATTATGAGAAGAGGAACGAAGGAAAAACTAACTTCAGGGAAGCTGGATGTGAAGTTGACAACCGTAATCTCGAGCAATATAAAAATGAGTTGCAGGGAATTCTTATGAGTTACTCTTAGCAGAATTTTCTTGTGTTGCTTTGAAGAAATTTACCAACAACTGTACAAGAAAATGCTGGACTATCTAAAGCTCGACGTGGAGAAGCTGGAGGAGTTGTTTGACAAGGTGAGTGATGTCGTGATCTTGCATTAAGAACCAGTAAGCAAGAGGAAATTTCTCTATGCAGTAGGTTGCTAGAGGAAATATATATATATATTGCTCCATTATTTTTTCTGCTCTAATGCTGGCTACTTTATTCTGATGGCAAAAGAACACAAATGATTTACTTTTCCATGAATTAATTGTACTCTTAGTTTCTGAACCAGAAAAGGATAATCTTGATGACTAGCTGCAATATCATAATCCCTCTCTACCAATGGTACAAGCAAAATTTACATTTATGTCTCATTTATCCAAAAAGGATCCCACCTTTTAGAGCTCTCCTTCCCTCCACTTTTATACAAGCTTGATGGTATTCCTTGCATAACAAAGACAATGCATACCTGCTAGTTCATGGATTGACCTCAAAGGGACAGTAAGTTTTGAGGAGATCGTGGTGAGCCGGTTTCTAGTAAAAAGCTTCTACTACAATATGACCTTGATGTACTCGAAGATGAAGCCAGATATCTTCCATCCCCGCTGTGAAAAAGTGGTTCACTCTTAGGAATGTTCCCTCCACTTATCCGTCCTCTTCCATCACTACCTTCAAAATCTTCATCTTCAACAGCCTGTATAAACCCACTTTGCATTGGATCTGAACTCTCATACAAGAGCTGAAGGACCTGTTTAATCGAAGGTCTAGCTCGACCTTCTCTCTGGGTGCACCATCTCACAATAGTCACAACCGTCTGAAGTTGGTCTAAGTCGAAGGAGTCCTTGATACTGGGGTCTACAAGCTCGATTAGCCTCGACTCTGATGCCAACAGTATCTGGTTTGATTCGACCAGATTCACACCATCTTGTACGGCTCGTCTTGCAGTCACCATCTCCAAAAGTAGCACCCCGTAGCTATACACGTCGCTTTTATCAGTGAGCTCTTGAGCGATGACATACTCAGGATCCATATAACCTGAAAATTATCTAATGTTTAGATCTTTAGTAAAGCAATGAGACATTTTTTTAACCTTCTAATGATGGCTAACCTGGAGTTCCACGGATGTCGTTATTTATTGGTTCAAAGCAAACAGAACCATTTTTTGAAGCATGTGCGAGGCCAAAATCCGCAACCTAGAGGATACAGTTAAGCAGAAATCACAAATTGTTTTAAAGCAATGTTCTTTGATGCTTTTACAGGAAAACAAATTCTTATATGGAGAGGTTTCTTCTTGAAAATTTTCAGTACCCGTTTGTACTCCTCTCTTTTTTTCTTATCCAAACATATGTATACCGAGAGAGAAAAACGAAATGCTCTTGAGAATTCGATAGACATGATACCTTTGCAACAAAATTCTCATCCAACAAAATGTTGCTTGATTTGATGTCCCTGTGGCAAAGAGGTGGATCACAATAAAAATGAAGGTACTCCTGCACATACAGACCACATATGAGGAACGAGACGATATTTTCATATAAACAAACAACAAATTTGGAAAACAGCTATTACCAAAGCATTAGCCACATCGATGGCAATCTGTATTCTGGTTTCCCAACTCAGTTGGTTTTTTCCGGGGGCTGCAAGAATATGGGATAATATCCATTTAGAACATGGAATTAACAAAAGGACACAAAAATAACACGAGAAAGAAGCAGTTAATGAAGTGAATTAAAGGAATGGAGAACCATACAATGAATATGATCTTTAAGGCTTCCATTTGACATATACTCGTACATTAGAAACCTGCCAGAAAGTAAAAGCATTTAACTTGCTAGTAGAAGAATCAATCACCGGGATATACATACAAGAATGAACTACCTCTCATGATTTTTAATGCAAAATCCTCTTAGAGCAACTAGATGTCGATGGTGCAACCTAGCTAGAAGTTCTATCTCTCGGAAAAATTCATCTTCTCCCTGCTCCGAGAATTTATTTATCCGCTTCACAGCTACCATTGATCCATCACCATATTGAGCTTTGTACACCGTCCCGAACCCTCCACGTCCAATGACGGTACTAAAACTGCAAGTTGCCCTTTTTGTTTCCTTGTAGCTATATTTCTGAAACATTGACGAAGTGCCTGCAATTTAATACCCGTCGGTAAGAAAATGGTCTTCAGAACTTGTCATTATCAAAGGAGAATAGATGATATCAAAACAAACCTTCCTGGAATTTCTGCATGGGCCTACGAGTAGGAAAGAGTTTTGAAGAATTCTTGTCTGTACTATCAGAATCCTCCAACTCTCTGCTTTTCTTACAAATCAAGACTACCAAAACTATGAGCACCATCATGACAGCTACCGTAACTGCTATGCCAATGCCGAGAATAGCCGTTAGGTGGTATTCATGGTGCTTTTGGTTTGGAGGTACTCCCAATATGAGTTGACTTGGTGCAGCAGCAACCAACGGACTAGGAGAAACCTTAGGGGAAGTTGGAGACAGAGGTGACTCCGAAACTAGATAGTTGGAATAAAATATTAGCTGATTGAAAGGATGCATAAAAGTTTGATTACTTACAAAAACGTACCCATATATCTAGTGTCTCAATGCAGTTCAAACAGAAAGCAAAAACACATTTTTAAATAATATTATATTAGGAGCATTAGTTTTCGAGGCATTCTTGTGTTTCATATTTTATGTTTCTTGATGATAAATAATGTTTCTTGGCTCTTTTCACCACTGATAAGATGAAAGACAAGGAATTCGGTACATTAAGAACGATCATAAACATTTGAGCCATGTAAAAAGTAGTAGAAATCTCACAAAAGATTATTCCAACAGATATATATACATGCAGTACTCGTACAAAATTAATCTGTTTTTTTATGAAACAAATTATACCTGAAGGGATGTCAAATCCATCAACTTGGAAAAAGCAACTTGCAATTTCAACAGCTGAAGTGTTGTCAACTCGGCTCGCAAGTGCAGCAAAGGTTGCATCTCGGCAAGTACTCAATGTCATATTATCTTGAGATCCAACTAGATGATGAACATAGTTCATGCCAGCATTTAAACACTTTCGGCATTTCTTTTCATGTGATAGTGGCAGTTTGCAGTTTACAGTGACATTCATAAATTCTGAAAACTCCAGCATCTGCGTTACAGTTGTCCGATCCTTACAGTTAAAACTAACGGGAATCTTCGTACCAAACCCACAGAAATTTGTGGCATTTCGTGGGACTCCATACAGCTGCATGGTTTGCAATATGGAGTGGACACAGATGTCAGATAAATCTGAGGTAACTCCTAGGTTGCCTGTCACATTTGCATAACGAGCAACGGAAAATGCAATGAAAGCATTCATATAGCGGCAACACTTTCCTCTTTCGCTTTTATTCGAGCATAAAGAAGCCAAAAGAGTAAAATTTGACGCACTCATATCTAAGGGGCAATCTGCAAAAGTAGTAGAACCATCAATAAGATACGAGTAAGCAACAGTATCATAGTCATCATCATCGCTCTGTAATACATCCATCGCTTGCAAAATAGATTGCTGGCAGTCACTGGAAACATGAATAAAAGTTAAAACATACGACTCTCAATCAACATCAAACCTAGAATGCATAATCCAGCTAAAGGTACCTTGGTCTCGTTACCTCAAATTCACATTGACTGCCATTATTCGAAATCTAACAATACTTACCAGTGATAAATACAAGCCAATACTATAGGAAACACATTTCCATATCATTTTTACCTAAGAAAGAAAAATCTAGTTGTAATGACACCACTTTGGCAATTAATTCTTAACACAGTGCTCTAGGAATCCTTTAAGTCAGGTTCATAAATTGCATAGTTGTTTGATTGAATAAGACATTGTGTTCAAATTCATTAAACAGTGAACCAAAGCTAGCCAAATCTAAACCACAAAGTACAGGTAGCTCAAACAGTCTAATGACAATTATAATCAAACAGAACAAGGGATAAACTTTAAAAAGAATGCAAATCAAAATTGAAAGCTTTCTGCTTTAAAACCCAAACCCATTTTTCAGGGCTCCTTAGATACACCAAACCCCCCTTTTTCTAAAGCACAATAAATGGCCCAAAATGACATCTTTTACAATAAGAAAAAACAAATGATAACATCAATTACAACTTGCTTAAAAGGGTAAGTAAAGCTCAACTAGTAAAAAACATGAAGCTAAAGGAACTTAACCTGCCAGTACCAAAGGAAGCTGCAAACAAATAAAGACCAGGAAACCCAACATTGCCTTTGCATCGACCACCATGGTAAACCAGGAAAGAAATATTTTTTTCTTTCAAAAGAAACAATACGGGAAGAAGGAACTGAGAAAATGTTAGTAATGGGAGTAATGTCGGCACATAGGGAACCCAAACAACTAAGCAACGGATAGAGAAATGTAAGAGAAGCGACCTTTTGAGTTGTAACCCTTCTCTCTCTTCTTTTAAACATCGGAATTGTGTTTGTCCTCAGTCTGTAAAGTAAATTTTATCATTGAAATGGGGAAATTGGAAATAAGTGTGGTCTAAAAGAATCACGTTGACGCATAAAAGTTCGATTTTTTTGAGAATATTTTTAGGACCCTTTTTACATGTGTGAAAACAAACGTTGCCTCGCTAAGATAAACAAGCATCTAGGTTCGAAATTTTGAGCTGCTTCAATGTCTGATTCATTTTTCCTCTTTTGTTGGACCGTAAAATGTTGAAAGGTAACTAAATAAGTGAGCTTTTTATGCAATATTGATATTGGTTCTGATCCATCCATCGAATTTTTTGAACCATCCATTTTATTTCGATTTGGATTGATTTGATTTTAATTTTTTATATGCAACTAAAACAATAACGCACAAATCATACAACAAATAAGGACCTCAGTTATTAATTAAACACCTATTTAATTGTATTTATAAAATATCAGCATTTCATTTCTTTATAATTTCCATATCAACAACAGAAAGGTTGGGTGTTTGATTGATAAACTATTTTATTAATTGATGATTATTTATGGAAGTTTTGTTAATTATGGAATCAAATTATCTTGCGAGGCAATAATGTTATATGTAACTTATGGACATTTTGTGTTTACTGTGATTATGTATAATGGTGATTGTTGAATATCCCAACTACTTGGTTTAAATATTATGGTGATGCTAGGATATTGATATATGTATTGTTATTTGTTAGTGAGAATTACATCGTGAAACCAGTTAGGAAATGAGAACTTTATGGTGTAGAGAACAAAATGATATTTGTTAGCATGTTCCTTTATTAATGATAATGCATGTTTAGACTTGATCATCTCTGTTGATATTACTTAACACACTTATGGTTATGAATGGCATACACTATTGTAAAATAGAAGTATATCATTGATTTTTGTAAAGCTTAATGTTCAGATAGTTTGAATTTGCTCAAGGAGTACCATCAATTTAAGATTTCTAACATCTTCTCATCATAGTAAATATTATTATTTATACGAGTATGTATATTCATACGACTCTTATTTATGTATTTGATCTGTAAACTCTATAAAATTTGTAACATTTAATTTTAAATTAAATTATAATGGAATTTCATACTTTTATGCACCTATCTGTCTAGGGTCAATATTTTTAGTTTTCATGTTGCACGGGCAACAACGCCTGTTTATTTTGTTTAAGGGACAAGTTCCTACGATTTGTTCATTTTTTCTTACATTCTTTTTATTTATATTAATATTTGACATTGTTACTTAAATTATTATTTCTCTACAATGCTAATTAAATTTATCTACATCTTTTAAATTGTCATATTTTTAAACAGTTTTTAACTTTGAAATTATTTTTATACACACCGCTAATTATATTTGATTTTTCTCATCTTCATATCTGTTTAAAATGTCAAATTATAATATTGAAATAATTATTTTTTAATTAATTTGTTATTTAATAACTCAAACTCCAGTAGAGATGGGTTAAGGAGAGACGACAAGGAGGTCTAGAAACATTTTAAATCATCATATATTTTATATTGCTAATATATTTTCACTCTTATCATAAAATCTTGCATCTATATATAACTGTTGATACTCATTATTTAGATTTTTTTTATTTTAAAAGATCAACATCAGCTACTAATTTAATTTTTAATGATATTAATAATTAAAACTAAGAAATAATAATAAGAGTAAATTAAATTATAAAAATCCTCAAAATTAGTAAACAGAAGATGTAAATTATAATTTGACCTTCCGAGTTTGGGCCAAAACAGAACCCAGTAAAAAGGTTGAATTAGAGGCCCCTGCTTCTTTTATGATCATTTTTGAGCTATGGTCATTGACATTAGATTTTAAGGTGGCGTTTGGTTGGATGGAATCCCTTGGAATTGGTGGGAATTGAAATCTACCATCCAAAAATGGATGAAATCCAATTCCCTTGTTGGAGGGAATTGAAATTTGACCATACTAACATCATCAATCATTTGCTAACTTATTCATGTATTGAATAAAAATATTTTTTTATTATTTCGAGTCGGGTTCCTAATTCATGTATTCGGATCGGGTCGGGTTGGGTGAAATTTTATTTTGGTCGGGTCGGGTCGGGTTTTTTTAAGTGTGATATTCGGGTCGGGTCGGATTCGGGTTTAGGGTGAAAAAAACCGAACCGACCCGAAAATATATATAATTCAGGTCGGGTCGGATTAAGTCACTGTTTTTATTAAATAAAAAAAATTTATTATTTCGGGTCGGGTCGGATTTCTAATTCATATATTCGGGTCGGGTCGGATGAAACTTTATTTTGTTCGGGTCGGGTCAGATTTTTTAAGTGTGATATTCGGGTCGGGTTCAAGTTTAGGGTGAAAAAAACCGAACCGACCCGAAAATATATATAATTCGGGTCGGGTCGGATTAAGTCACTGTTTTTATTAAATAAAAATATTTTTTTATTATTTCGGGTCGGGTCATATTTCTAATTCATATATTCAGGTCGGTTCGGATGAAACTTTATTTTGTTCGGGTCGGGTTTTTTAAGTGTGATATTCGGGTCGAGTCGGTTCGGGTTTTTTTAAGTGTGATATTCAGGTCGGGTTCGGGTTTAGGGTGAAAAAAACTGGACCGACCTGAAAATATATATATAATTCAGGTCGGGTCGGATTAAGTCACTGTTTTTATTAAATAAAAATATTTTATTATTATTTCGGGTCGGGTCGTATTTCTAATTCATATATTCGGGTCAGGTCGGATGAAACTTTATTTTGTTCGGGTCGGGATTTTTAAGTGTGATATTCGGGTCGAGTCGGTTCGGGTTTTTTTAAGTGTGATATTCGGGTCGGGTTCGGGTTTAGGGTGAAAAAAACCGGACCTACCCGAAAAATATATAATTTTACCTTATATATTTAGGAATAATTACAATAATACCCCTCTATATATAATTTTTTTCAATTAAGTCAATGTTTTTATTGAATAAAAATATTTTTTTATTATTTTGAGTCGTGTCGGGTCGAGTTTCTAATTCATATATTGAATAAAAATAGTTTTTGGTATATTTTTTGGTAACTAATTAACATACTCCAATTGGAATGTATCGAAATATTACTCTATCTTTTGGTAACTTATTAACATATTTTGATTGCGATGATTTTAACTTATATGATTTTTATAATTTATTGAAATGAATAATCAATTAATAAAATGAAAATTTAATATTTTTTAATTTTTTATAATATATTACTACATGTAAGTTGTAAAATAAACTAAAATAAAAAAAATAAGAAGGGCAATTCTGTCATTTAATATTACTGAAATCAAATTCATCTGATATATATACGAACCAAACAGAATATGGAATTGGATTCCAATTCCATTTCTTGCAACCAAACAGAATATGGAATTAGATTCCAATTCCTACAGATTCTAATTCCTTCACAGATTCCAATTCCCTTATAAATATTCCAGCAAACCAAATGTCACCTAAGTTTCTAAGTTTAGAAGTAGGGATGGATTTAGCGAAGATGGTTCGGGCAGTAGTTTATTTCGAAAATTTTAAATTCTTATAAATTTAAAATATAATTTTATATTTTTTATTGACTATATATTTATTCTTTTAAAATTTTATGACTTCGTCATTCATAAAATTTTATCAATTTTCACTCTTAAAATTTTATAATTTTATCATTTAAAAAAAATTATGTCTGGTCATTATTCAAAAAGCAGGACTGCCATGAGAAATATGGACACATGCACGCTTGTCATGCAGCAGGCATGGATTAGTGGCATTTACATTTATTATATACCTGCCAGCAAAAGCTGTTAAAGATATCTCGTGAGTTGAATGTGAACAAACAATGGCTCCAATTCAATTACATTCTTTGGATCGCTTTGCCTCACATGCTTCTTTTGCAGCCCAAAGTTTGTGTTTTTTTTTCCATGTACGATTCTGGGAATTTGATGGTTAAAGCTAGGGGTGTAAACTAGCCGAGTCGATGAGTTCGAGTAGTGTTGAGTTCGACTCGACTCGAAAATTCTAAAATGAAACTCGATTCGACTCGAAAATTCGTGAGTTTAAATTTTTAAGCTCGACTCGAACTCGAAATCCTGAACTGAAGCTCGTGAGCAGCTCGAAAATGCTCGAAATGAAGAAAAAAATTTCTTAAACTTAACTCGATTGAAGCCTCAAACTCGAACTCGAACCTGAACCTTAAATACATGAAAATTTTACTGTATTTTTTTAAAAAAAATCAATACATAAATGTTAATATTATTAATAATTTATTTTTTAAAAAATAACATCTTAATATATTATGTTTTCGAGATGGAGCTTTTCGAATAGAATGTCAAGTAGCTCGTTTCGGTTCGTTAATAACTCTAATCGAGTCCATTCGATCCGAATATTTATCGAGCCTTGATCGAGTCGATCTCGAATAACTCGCGATATGTCTCGTATCATTTACGACCCTAGTTAAAGCGACATTGCTGCGTTTTGATGGTGGAAGAGTTTGGGAAGATTACTTTTTATACTAAAAGCGGTTTAAGTTGACAAAATATGACAAACCTATAAACGTCGGTAATTGGATACAAAAATATGTATAAAAAAAAGACTAGGGAAATTTGTAAAACTCATTGGTTGAGGATTACAAGCAAGCCGAAGAGGAAGACTTTAAGCAACAAATTTTCATTCTAAGCCGTGTGTTTGTGGAATTTCATGCCATTACGAAAATATTATATTCACTTATCACTTTTTTTTTTTAATATCCTTAACAAATGGTTGCTGTGATTTTCCTTTTTGTGCAAAATATTTGGTATTCATCATTAACTAGCTGACCAGAACATGCCTTTTTTAAACCCACATTGCCAGCTATAATGCACTTGTATATGAAGAGAATCCGAAGCAGAGAAAAGGCAAAGACCCCAGAACCAAACCAATGCAGGCAAGTTTCCATACGTCTTTCTCCTTCTCTTATTTTCTACTCTGTCCTGCACTAACAAGGTTAAATATTTGGTCTGCAGTTGATTACCATTTTGATCATTTCTAGTCTGTGTTTTGGTTTCTGCTCAGCTCTCAAGGTACTACATGTTCATTGCCCTTGAAATGTCGGTTTCTGTTTTGTTTGTGATATAATATGTTTGAAACAGGAGGGGCAGATATGTATAGCAGATCGGAATTGTGACTCAGGGTTGCACTGTCAAACTTGTATAGCGAATGGAAACGTACGGCCCCGGTGCACCAGAATCCGACCTCTAAGCCCCATTTCTAAGGTCAAGGGACTTCCGTTTAATCGATACTCGTGCTTGACCACGCACAACTCGTTTGCGAGGCTAGGAATGAGGTCTGCAACCGGGTCTTTGCTTTTGGCTCCTACGAACCAGCAGGACTCCATCACCAGCCAGCTTAATGTATGTGTTCTTTTTACTCCCGGTTCAATGTTAAAGAGAATTAGCTCTGATTTTTCGATGTTTAAGTGGGAATAAAATATTGGAATCTCCATGTCATATGTGGGAATATGTGATTTTTTTATGTTGAATGAACAGACAGTATGATTATTCTTTTTGTCATGTGATTTGAATGCTTTGAAAACATGGTTGTTGGGCACTATGTTGCTTCCGAGCATCTTCTTGCTTAAAGCATAATCAAACTGTACAAACCATGTTTTCCCAGGTATATTGTACTTGCGTACACTTTTGTTGAATGCTTCTCATTTGATGGCAGCCTTTTTTACTTATATTCAGAAACCTTTTCACCAATTCTTTCTCTTTATGATGAAAAAATGGTGGGTGTTAAATGTTAATGACTGTAATGATAGTTTTTACTCACAATTTTATACCTAAACTAGCGAGGCCTGCTTTTTGTGTGTGTGTGTTTGGTTCCCATGTGAAGTGATGTTTAATTTAATCAGGGTAGTTAAATGACATCTGTACTTTATTCTCCTTTGAAACCCTCATGTAACTCGAGTAGGGTTAGTTGAACCCTTCCGAAAAAAGGTAAAGATTAATTCGAAAAATGAAATCTATTGATGGAAACAAGCTGATATCGTCATTCGTTGGTGGTTCACCCTTTTGATTTGGAAGAAAAGTCGCTGTCGATGACCGGACGACTATCGGCCGGTATTTTTTTCATGCAGGAGAGGGGGGTCACGTAGAGGAGAAGACAGATGGTGAAGATGAAATCTGAAAGGGAGAAAAAACCCCTCTTCCCTTTTTCCTCGGGGTATAAGTACCCCTGTTATAGGACGGTCGATGTCACGAATTATGTGGAATTGTCTGAAGACCAATCATGGGGCTGTTGCCATCTAGATAGTGCGGGACTATGAATGGACAACGGGCAGAGGTTTGATTTTTAAGGTAGTCTCCCGGAGATGTCTCCGGAGGTACAACAAATTCCATGATCATTTATATCGCCAATGCTGCAGTTGACCTATGATTAATGGCACATTTGCTTCATAACTTGCGTTGTTTTGACTCTTATGTTTCGTGTCAAACATCCGTACTCGATGCATACATATATCTGACACTTACGGCCAGCTCCCAGCTGCATGTACGAACGATAATCTGGTTTGATATCAATAATCTTAATACTAGATCTTGTATATTTTCCCCCTAGAAGCTGAATGTCTATCATATACTATCATCAATGATCAGATAACAATTTGATAGTTAAATTGGCCTTTTACTGAAAATTGAACATTTATTCTCTCTTGCAGAATGGTGTTAGAGGTTTGATGCTGGACATGTATGATTTCCAGAATGACATTTGGTTGTGTCACTCTTTTGGAGGACAATGCTACAACTACACAGCTTTTGTAAGTCTCTATGAACATCTAAAGCCAATACATATATCTTTACCATGTCATTAATGGATGAGGTTTTTGTTTTCGATCAGCAACCTGCGGTTAATGTTTTAAAAGAGGTTCAAGCATTTCTTGAAGCAAATCCATCAGAAATCGTTACCATTATCATTGAAGATTATGTTACCTCTCCAAGGGGATTGAGTAAAGTATTCGATGCTGCCGGCCTAAGGAAGTTCTGGTTTCCGGTATCTCGAATGCCAAAAAACGGTGGAAATTGGCCGACGGTTGATGATATGGTCCAAAAGAATCAGCGCCTGGTGGTTTTCACCTCCAAGTCGGCTAAAGAGGCCTCTGAAGGTATAGCTTATCAATGGAGATACATGGTAGAAAACCAATGTAAGTCATTTTACCATAATCTTTTTTCATCGGTTAACTAAACAAAACAGAGTTGACATTGATGCATTTGGAAATAACAGATGGAGACCGTGGGATGGTTGGTGGTTCGTGTCCGAACCGAGCAGAATCACCTGCGATGAATGTGAAATCGAGGTCACTGGTCTTAGTCAACTACTTCCCCGATAGACCTGACATAACGCAAGCCTGCAAACACAATTCAGCTCCATTGATTAACATGACGAAAACGTGTTATACGGCAGCCGGCAACCGGTGGCCGAACTTCGTTGCTGTAGATTTTTACAAGGTATGAATGTTGCATAACTGTCATTTGGCAGTGGTAGTACTAGTACTACCAAAGCATGAACAACCTAAAAACCGAATTCTCACACACAAATCTTTCAGAGGAGCGACGGCGGAGGTGCTCCAGAAGCCTTAGACGTGACGAACGGTCGTCTAGTTTGCGGATGTGGAAACATTGCCAATTGCAAGGTCTGAAACAACATTCTTCAATTCATCGCCCTCCATTCCATTATTCAAATAGTTTTGGTATTCAACAACTGTTGTTCTACCGTGTAGGCAAATATGACATTCGGAGTATGCGGCATACCTGAAGCGGGTACCGTCCCTGCACCAGGATCAGTAGCACGTAAATCAAGCTTTGCTCATTTAGATTGTCGACCGATTGCATCACAGTTACTGATTGGCATAAGTTTAGTAACAATTCTCTTACAACTGTGAACACGAACTCAAAAACATCTCCTTGTTTTTCTGGAACACAGTGGTTCGGATTATCGGTACGTAGTTTATTCTTCTGCTTCAATGGTTGCAGTAGATTTTGGTTTAACATTTATGAGTTTTCATGGGATCTTTTTTCCTTTTGTTAATACAACTTTAATCTGTTAAATTGGAAATATGAGGTCTGGGCCTTTTGGCTTCTCTCTTTGTTTACGGAACTCAACTTGAAAATTTAGTTGAATTTACTAAATTCCTTAAAAAATATTGTTGTTAGCCACTAAATATGATTTTTTTTTAAAAAAAATCCAAATCACATGGTTGAGCTAATTCTTTTATATAAATCAGAAAGTAGAGGTATTAAATTCATATGATTAAGAGCAAAGAGATCACATTACAAAGTTCTATAAAGTATAGGGATTGCGGGTATAAATAAACTAAACATCAAATTATGATAAATATTATAGGCATAATATAACAAAATGGGTTTAATGTTTTATTAAATAGTTATTTTGATTCTTATTCTTTTTCTCAACATTTTATTTTAAGGTAAAAAGATTTCTAACGTTTAATTAAATAGTCACTTTAGCTCTTATTCTTTTTTTTTATGTATTTTGGCTTCAACATTTTATTTTAGAACAAAAAAGATCCATATTTTATAGCATTTATCGTTTGTTGACTACCGATTTTCATCCATACATGGATTTTCCCCCCAAAATAAAATATTTGTTGTTAATTGCTCCAAAAGATAAAAAAATAAAAACTAAAATGAATATTTAATCAAATGTTAGAGATATTTTTGTCATTATGCCAAAATTAAAATATAGAAACATAATCCCCATATTGAATATAATATAAAGTTTAAAATCTCAATTCAATTTATTATATTAATAACATCAAGGTTTGTACTTTAATCTTAATTAAGAGCCTTAATAGCTTATCACATTAGATTAATGATAAACTCAATATATAATTTTCACTATCATTTTAAAAAATATCATTAATAAACTCGAATTTTGAATTATAATACATGGAATCTCGTGATTTTTTTTTATCTTTTGAGATGGAAAAAGAAAATCACTAGCTACAACAAGACTATTTGTGAGTGTGATTCAAGTCAAACAACACTCAAACCTAAACAAATTGATGCATTATTTAGTGCATAATTGGACTGGGAATAGGAATATATGTTTTGTAGGTATAGATAGGAGAAATCCGGCCATGGATAAAACAAAGTGTTTAATCAGGTCATCAAAATGGCATATTCCCAAGCATCTGTTCCCATATATATATATATATATATTAAGGGGTAGTATGCGCTTATATGATGTAAAAAATAGTTTCACACTAACATAAAATCGTTGAATGAATGAAAATAAACTATCGATATTATTTTTTATTTTTTTCCCGGTGAATATCTTCTCATTTTCTACTGTTAATCTTGTTTAAATAATTAATGCTTAGAATATGCTACTATATACCAATAACCAGTTGATCTAGTGGGATAAGACACTAGATCCCTTAAGCAAAGTCATGAGTTTATATTATGACGTTTGTGAATGAAATAAATTGGATTGGGAGGATTGTTCTATAGTGCGTCTCTATAAAATTTAATCTAAATTAATCGATTGATCTATTGATGATTAATTAAAAGAAAAAAAATAATATGTTGCTATATGTGAATCATAGATTTGAAATTGATAGTGCAATGCATGACAACTCATTCCTATGCCTACCCTTTACAATGATGATTAAAGGAATTAGTTAAGTGCTCCACTAACAACGTTTTGTGCCCATGTTTGATATTTTCTGCCCTAGTGTCTCAACTCCACATGGGACAATGACTACTTTGATTTTATTCAACGAACCGAATCAAAAAGTTGAACTGATTTGGTTTTCCATCTTTGATTCGATTGAATTATTCAGATTAATATATATATATATATATATATATATTAAAAGTCTGGGTGAAAATGGATGAAAACATGATGAAAGCACTCCATTTTGTTACTTTTTATATAAGGAAATCCAATTTTTAATAGATTCTTTTAGTTTATATTCATTATTTTTTCGGTTCAAATTGTATGATTAAGAATTGGTTTGTATTTTTTTATGGTTTAATCATTTCATTAAATGCTCTTTAATATTTATTGACATAATTTATAAGATAAACTGAGTCATGTGTACATAAAATACATGTGAACTGTTACATAAGTTGTCATATAAAAAATTATTTTTTTCAGTTAATATTTTTGTTAATAAAAAAATTTAACTTGTTTTTAAAAGATTGATAACTAAATTTAACTTAAAAAATAATAGAGATGATTAAGAGTTAAAGCTAATAAAGGGATATAAACATCTAATATATGGCCAAAACCATGCATAAATACATGTACATGTGTGTATGAATAATTTTTGTTTGTTTATTATTAGTAATTTTTAAAATTTTAGTAAAAACGATTTTATACAATTTTAAGAGACTAAAATACATAATCAACAAAAAATTATAAAAATATGTAAAATATATAATAATTTAAAATTTTTAGGTAGAGTAATTGTCTTCTACTACCGTTTATTGCAGTGGCCTAAATGCGCCTCCAAAGAGTGGTAATTCCAACAAATGTGATAATAGTATTGACCAAGTATGAAGTTGAAGTGTCACTGACTAATCACCAATGGGAAAAGCAACCCAAATTGCATTGTTATCTATATTTTCCCTCACCCCACTTGCATTTACATACCACCTTCTCTCCTTCATACCAAGTTTGTTTTTGTCCCTTCTCTTTTATATTTTCTTACATAATTACCCTTTAAAATATAAGGTAAACTAGGTGTTTAGTACTTAAATTATCATTTTTGGTCCGTTTTAGTACCTAAACTTTTATATTTTTAAAATCATACCTAACGCTTAGTTTTTATTTCATTTTAATATCCCGTTGTTAAAAACTTAACAGACGGGCTCACTGGCCATTATGTCTACTGTCGTTAGTCGTCACATACGTTGATCGATGAAACACAAACTTTCTAACCTACATCTTTTCGACCCCCTAAACGCGATTCCGACCTCTGTTTCACCAGAAAATGCCTCAATCTCTCGAATCGACGATGTATTCTTCGATTTCTTCACCCTCCAATCTCCATAGTCCACCGTCTAGTAGGCTTAAAACTAGACTATGTTGATCGACTCGTCATTCTCTCGTGGTCCAACGTTGAGATTGATCATCTGTTCATCGGAGCTATGTCACGTCAGTCCGTCCATTAAGTTTTTAATGACATGGTAGTAAAATGAAACAAAAACTAAATGTTATGTATGATTTTGAAAAAAAAAATAAAGTTTAGATATTAAAACAAACTAAAACTAATAGTTTAGGTATTAAACTCATAACTTACCCTAAAACATATGTAGTTATACATAGAATCCATATATTAACTATAAGTTAAATTTTTTATAAGATAAAATTTGTTGTTTATTAACAATGCATATAAATCCTATAGATATAAACATCACTCCCTTTTATTACTAAGATTACTTAATGAGTTTTTCATTTTGATTATCTAATTATAATTGTATAAATATATTAATTATAATTATAATTTTATTTGTATATAATATTAATTAATTTTACTTTTAATTATAAAAATATAGGTTGAATTGCAATAAAAAATAATTTACTTTAAAATAATAAAGTCTTGGGTTGAATTTGAATCGATAGTCACGAAACCTTTTTCCATTACCTTTTTAGATTTTGGATGGATGGAAACAAAAAGTCCACGTGGAGAGCTCATCCAACAGTTGAAATAAATAAATAAAATAAAATAGAAGATCCAAGTTAGTTATGGACCAAGTCATCAACGAAACTAAATTGAACACGTGTCCGTATTGCGACATCCCACATGGAAATTTTGCATCAATAATTTCATAGTGGACCACTTATTGATAAAATCGTAGGGCGAATCTCAATGCCAACTAGACCCCGCCTTCTTCACACCCCAATTCTTATTTAAAAATTTTGATATTTTTCTCAAATTGATATCTAATATTTTCTATAAATAATAAATTTAAGATGTACAATGTTATTTATTTTATTTAAAGAATAATGATCGTTAATTATTGATCAACAGTAACATGTCACACTAATTTTCACCTTTTATTTAATTCGTTAATCACAACATATTTTATTTGTTTATAATTTTATAATTTAATATAATACTTGCCAATATTACGTGACAGTCAAACATGATAAGAAGATGGAACTGACAAAACTTGTAGATCGTCTTCTATTTCAATAAAGGAAGTAGAAGGAAATATATTTTTAATTATCAACTCGATTTTTCGTAATTGAGTTATTAAAAAGTAAACAGTTTAAAGATTAAAATCAAATTCACCGAATGTAAACTATCAAAATCGTTATATTTTAAATCAATGACTAAAATCAGATAGTTTGAAAATATAAGAGACCACTTGTGTAATTACAAAATAATAACATATGTTTAGAATTTTTTTAACCAATTGACAACAAATACACACTATACAAACGGAATCATTCGAACTCATGATCTTTAAAAAGACAATATTCTATTTTATTATTAAAATCACTTGATAAGTTTATATCAACGACATATTTAAAACTATTCATTTTGAAATCATCATATCATTTTATTAATAATTATTAATGTGTTATCAAATTAGAATGACTAATAATATTATAAAAACAACTATTTAAGTTTTTTATTGTTGCACCAACTATTTAAGTTAAATTTTAAGTTTTAACACTAATAGAATGATTAAAACAAAAAATAACCATTGCAATATTGTTTTCGTTTAAGTTTTTTTATTAAACCAGCAAAAAATTAATTTTAATAGCTGGAAACACATGTTGATTCGCACGTGCATCGGGGCAGTCAAGTATCATATAGGCTGTACCGGGGCTACAAGCAATGCATTGTTCGGTTGACCGGAGACAGAACGGACGCAGTGTTCCTCTTCGCGCGTGTGCTTGCGCCATTAAAACGACACCGACTATCCCATTACGGAAGTGTCAATTTCGTCATATTATTAATAAAAATATTAGGATAAGTTATATATATGATCATCGATTTTTTATTTTTATT